TGAGGCTTTCTGCTCCCATAAAGATTTACAGCCTCGGAAACCCTGTACAGGGTCACTATGAGTCAGAACCGACTCCACGGCACATAACAACAACAAAGGAAGTACAAAGTCCCAGTTCAGTCAAAAGGCAGAGAGTTTGCTATCTGGCATTAGTAATTGCATCATCAAGCTGGTGTTTCCCTCTCATCGTTGTCATCAGTGTTGATGAACCAAATGTTCTCCATAAGGAGTAACTATATCCTCTTTACTAGCTGGACTAAGCTGTTGGAGACAGGACTGAGATATGTGTGAGGCTCATAAGGATTTTGTATTTGTTGGTGACCCTAACATGTGTTTTTTGTCCTAAGGAAATAGCACCACCCCAAGTGAGTCCCCAAGCAGCTTTCCTACAGGTCGTGAATTTGGCAGATGGCGAGGTGAACATGACAGTGCTGGGAGAAAACAACAATCCTTTGTTGGAAGAGTCTATCAAATCCTTTCAGGTGAGGTACTACTGTCCTGAATGAATTAGAAACTTGTTCAGAGTATGCTTCATGGTCAGCACAGCTGTTCGTATTTACCGGCTGAAGTAGTAGGTTAATATAGTGATTAAGACAAGATCATGGGTCCATGGAGTGACACTGGCTAAGTTAAAATCCTGGTTCTGCCACTTACTAGCTGTAAGACTCTGGAGAAGTTACTTTATCTCTAAACCTCAGTTTCCCAATCTGTAAAACAGCAATCATTTCTATGCTCTACTCTGGTAGTGTAGTGGTTACGAGTCAGGCTGTGAACCTCAATCAAGGTCAGCAGTTCGAAACTATCAGCTGTTCCCTGGGAGAAAGATGAGGCTTTCTGCTCCAGTAAAGATTTACAGCCTCGGAAACCCTGTACAGGGTCGCTATGAGTAGGAACCGACTCCATGGCACATAACCACCACTATACACACACACACATATATGGTGGTCATTATGTTTCAAGGCTGTAAATCTTTATAGTATTTACAGGAACAGAAAGCCTCATCTTTATCTTATGGAACAACTGGTACCTTCAAACTGCTCACCTTGAAGTTAGCAGTCAGACTTGTGACCACTATGCAACCAGAGCTCTCTCTCTCTGTATATATATATATACCAGTCTTCTTCCCATACACATTCAACATGTGTTGTTGTCCATGTATCTATCTGCAGAACATTGTTGTTCCAAGGTTGTGCATGTATCACTATTTACCTCTGTCCCCTTTAGCCCTTGTATACCTCCCTGTGTTTTCACCTGTCTTCATCATTCTTCTGCCAACCTCCCTCTTCTTGTACATTGCCTTTTCTGTCACTTGACCTAATGTGTCTACCCTCTAGCCAGTGAGTTACTCTCCCCTCTCGTTCACCCCTTGTAACCATCAAAGAACGTTTCTTTTAGTCTGGAAAACTTTTTTTAAGCTTTTGCAATAATGGTCTCATACAATATTTGTCCTTTTGTGATTGACTTATTTCACTCAGCATAATGTCCTCCAGTTTCATCCAAGTTATGAGGAGTTTTGCAGATTCATCATTATTCTTCAGTGTTGCATAGTATTCATTCCACTGTGTATATGTACCAAAGTTTGTTTATCCATTTTCTTCCATTGTTGGGCATTTAGGCAATCTTCATGTTTTTGCTATTGTGACTAATGCTGTGGTGAACATTGGTGTGCATATATCTACTCATAGTCTGCCTCATATTCTTGTGAATATATCTTATGACCCAGCAATCTCTCTACTTGGTAGAGATACTTCTATTTTCAACGTTCTGAGGAAGTGCCATACTGTTCTCCAGAGTGGTTGAACCATTTTACAGTCCCACCAACAATGTAGGTGAGATTATCCACACCCTCACCAGCATTTGTTGTTTTCTGTTTTGTTTTTTTGAACTTTGCTGTTAATGTTGGTATGCAATTATATCTCATTATTGTTTTGATTTGCATCTCTGTAATGGCGCTGTGGGATAATGCACAGGACCACAATGTTGTTTGATCCAAAAGATCGGTGATTCAAACTCACCAAGCACTTCTTGTAAACCCTATACAGGGTTGTTATGGGTCGGAATTGACTTGATGGCACTTAACAACAACAACAACAATAGCTAATGATCATGAACATTTCTTCATAAGTTTGTTGGCTGCCTGACTGTCTTCCTTGGTGAAGTGTCTGTTCACATCTTGTACCCATTTAATTGGGTTGTTTATCTTTTTCTTGTAAAGATGTTGTCATTTTCTATAAATTTTAGGTATGAATCCCTTATCAGATCTGTCACTGTAAAAACAATGTTCTCAGTCTGTGGGCTTCATTTTGCAGTAATCTTTTGATGCATATAGTTTTCTAATTTTTAGGAGGTCCTAGTCATCAATTTTGTCCTCTACTGCTTGTGCATTTTTTGTAATGTGTGATAGTATATGTATGCCATCTATTTAGAACCCATAAGTTTGTCCCTAGTTTTTCATTGAGGACCATTATAGTTCTAGTTTCACATTTAGGTCTTTAATCCAAGTTGAGTTTGTTTTTTTATATGATGTGAGATATGGGTCTTATTTCATTCTTGTGTAAATCTATTTCAAGTTTTGCCAACACCGTTTGTTCATGAGATGATCTTTTCCCCATTTAGTGTATTTTGACCCTTTGTCAAAGATCAGTTGACTATAAGTGGATGGATTTACCTCTTGGGTCTCAATTGTGTTCCATTAGTCTAAGTATTTTTCATTGTACCTGGTCTATTTTGACTGTGTAGCAAATTTTAAGATCAATTTCTTTTCATGCTTTCTGCATCATTCAATATTTGTTCATCGAAGCCTTCAATATTGTATGTGAAAGCTTGAATTTTTTCTTCAGTGCTTTCAGCTTGAGCAATGCTGAGCATATTCTTCCTTTCTGGCTTCCTAACTGCAGATCTTTGCATATTCATTATTATACTAGACTTTGTCTTCTTGAGTAGCCCTTTGAAATTTTCTGTTCATCTCTTTGACTTTCTAATTTCTTCCATTTTCGTTAGCAACTCTATGCTGGAAAGCAAGTTTCAGATTCTCTTCTGACATCCATTTTAGTCTTTTTTTTCTTTTCTTCTTTGTCTTCTTAATGACCTTTTGTTTTCTTCCTATATGATGTTCTTGATGTCATCCCACAATTCTTCTGGTTTTTAGTCATTAGTGTCTAAAGAGTCAAATCTGTTAAAACGATCTCTAAATTTAGGTCTGATATGTTCCAGGTCATATTTTGGATATTATGGACTTATTTTCATTTTTTTCCATTTCAGTTTGTCGTACTGTGGTGGTTTGCATGTTGCTGGATGCTGGAAACTATTCCAATCATCAGTTTTATATTCAACAAATCAATACTTGTTTCATTACAATGTTTATAATCCCCTCCGTGTGCCATCAGTTAACAGTATTTCTATTTATTTTTTCTTAAACACTCAGGCATATATAATAATTTAAACCACCAAAGGGCATATTTTGCAAGTCTGCTTCCTGGCTGCCAGCTCTCAGTCCCTCTCTTTCCATGAATTTAGAGTCCTCAGTTGCTCCCTCTCTCTATGTCCCCATCTCTGCCTCCATCTCTGTTTTCACTGCTTCTCTGGATAGGGTCCCACATTCCTCTTGTGCTCTTCTCCATTGATGGTCCTTGGGCACTTTCTTTCTAGACTGTTAGATTAACTACTCCCCATTTTTGTTGCAAAACATCTACTTTTACAATTGTGACAGTCACAATTAATCATGATAACAATTACTCACTATTGAATCATACAAATCTTTTCCCCATCTCTTTTAACCAGACCCATCTAGACAAGATGAAAACTATTTAGTGGAGACTCTATCTTTTCCAGCGCACTCTTAAACTAAACTCTCTCTTGAAAACTTGTAAGCCAGTCACTTTGTGCCTTTATCGCTCCCTCACTTTAGGTAGCCAATATCTAAGTTAAGTTGTCCATTCCTATATACCCTGTATAGAGAAGGAATAGCATTGATAATTAATGTGAAGACTCTTTCCCTCTCTGTTGGTAATTTGAGTTACTACATCCATGAGTATAGGTCAAGTTCATCAAATTGTAGCAATTTACCCTTGTTTCCTTTATTGCCATTAGTATTTTAAGTACCAGCAGGATCACTCATGGTGGACAGTTTCAACTGAGCTTCCAGACTACTAAGACAGACAAAAAGAAGGAGAGGCAAACTCGTTCTCAATGTTTAGCCATTGAAAACCTTATGAATAGCTATGGAACATTGTCATATAGCATCAAATATTGAATATTGAAACATTATGAATAGCACCAGAATACTGTCAGATATGGTTTCTGAGGAGCAGCTAGTGAGCTTGAACCACTGACCTTGCAGTTCAAACTGACTGTAGTCCAGTGCATTAACCCACACTGTCACACCAGGACTCCTATTAACCTTACATGTAAATCTTTATGCACGTCTGTAATTACTTCCTCCAATAGAGTCTAAGGAATGAAATTACTAAGTCAAAGGGTAATGCTGAAATTATGTGAGTCAGCTGTCCCCATTCTGGAATGCTCTGAGATTATAATGTCCAAGATGGGGTGACTGTAACAGTACTTTATTCTACAGAAAATACCACACTATTCCAAACTGCACCTGAATACTAAAAGCCAGAATTTACACTTCCGCATGAAATATAAAAATTTCTCTGTGTACACTGAGCATTTTGTGGAGGAGAAGAATTGGTACAGTCTGATCCTTCATGGGAATGGGAACAATATCTCCAGCTTGATGGTAAGTTGAGAAATTCCCCAGATTCCAAAATGTCATCTCTGAGCAAGATTAATGGTTTTATGAGTACCTTACCAAGGATCTTGCCTGATGATTAAAATTTCAGAATATCAGTTTCCTGCTAATAAGTCAGTTGTAACTTATTTTTACTTTCCTCTATTGTAGGTGAAGAATGAAGAAAACAAAACAACCAATGGGATGACAGTCGTGAGGTTGGATGTCAGGGAGAACTTGCCTCTGCTTTTTGCTTAGATCTTGGGTCTCTTTTAATCTATGTTGTTGTTGTTGTTGAGTGCCATCGAGTCGGGTCCGACCCATAGCGACCCTGTACAGGGTTTCCGAGGGTGTAAATCTTTACAGGAGTAGAAAGCCTCATCTTTCTCCCGCGGAGCGGCTGGTAGTTTCGAACCGCTGACCGTAAGGTTCGCAGTCTGATTCGTAACCACTACGCTACCAGAGCTCCTTACTTTTAATCTATAGAGCTTCCAATAAAAATGGCTTACATTCTACTTGTCCTGACAAGTAGAATGACAGGGGCACAGGTGTCAGAAAATGTTTTCTAGCCCATGGAAAGGTAGATAGGCTTGCTTTCCCAGGTGATATAAAAGATGATCCTGTCTCTGAATGTCCCTTTCACCCTATTGCATAAATCCCTTCTGCTAGCTGTATCCGTTTACTGCACTCCCAGAAAAATTACAGTTCTTCTTTCCTTTGTGTAATCCCTGGAGAGAAATTTAGAAGTGAGCATGTGATTGTAACTTCATTGTTGGTAGTTGAATATCTATTATTGTTACTGTATTTTAAATGTATAATTTTTACTATAAACATATAAAGGCATAATGGTGTAGCTAAGCTAACACGTTTGGAGTCAAAGGACTTGCTTCTGAATCCAGATAAGGTTGGAGGTCTTGACAGACATCCAGGGAACAATTACAGAGGTGAAGCACTAACAGTCACCTACTCTCTGTGACAGAAAGCAAACATGAAACAGACTGATGCACATACCTGTGGCCATCTAGGTAGAGAGCTGCTTATAAGACTAGTAATTCTGAGGAGATTTTAATGAAAAGTCTGAGTTTCACTGAATTGGTAATAGTTTGCTTCAGAAAGCAAAACAATGACTCAATGTAAGTAAGACAACAGTAAAGACAGGATGTCTCTGGGCTGGAGAGGCATAGGAACCTCCTGGAAGGAGTGAAATAGCAACTGCTAGGTCGGTGAAGGGTAATCTAAATCCAGGAAGCAACATTCAAGACTACAGAGGGAACTGTTCTTCTAATTCCATGAGCCAGAGACCAAGGGAAAATGATTAATACAGAAATATACCAGTGACCCATCCTAAGGTGATAATCTAGGGATCCAAGTACAGAAGACTAGAAAGATGGTTCTGGAAGGATTCAAGATTGTCCATAAACCCAAAAACAATGATAACTCAATCCAATGTGGCTTGTGTAAGTCACACAGACCTCATTTATAATAGGATATGGTACAAGTTTTATGAGAATACCAGCATATATACATCATTAGTTTGTTTTGCTTTTCTTAGTAAAGACTTAATTATGAATTCCACCACCAGCAGGAAGAAATTGAATGCACTTAAACTGGTTTAGTGAGGAAAGTCACTTTTCCAACAGTGGTCATGATATTGTCCGACCAGCTAGAGATCTGGTTAGGATATGGCAGATAGAAAGTTAATATCACAGGAAGGAGAAAGTTTTGGATAGCTGACTATTTCTTACATGTTAAATTTATTCATTCATCCAGTTAACAGTCTACATTATGTACCTTTTATGTGTCGGCCACTCTTCTAGGCACTGAGGATATAGTTGTGAATAAGACAGACAAGGTGCCTATTTTTCTTTATCAGATGCTTCTGTTTGTTTATCTGATTGGTAAATAATGCTTCTATTCTCAGGTTTGTTAACACTTTGCCTGAAGTTGTCAACATCTCCCTGGGTACAGATACAGCCTTCAGTGTTGGTGAAGCCTATGGTGTGTCTGCTTACAGAACTGTGGAAACAGGAGAGTAAGAGTACTATTTTTCTGGACATTTTACTCATATCAACAATTGTTTTATAAAATGCTTTCTTAATGTTTAGTTTGGGGACTTAGGCTAATTGTGAGTTTAGAGGACTCCTGTTCTTTTCAACCTTTTTCTCCTTCCCTCAGTTTCACTTTTTCTGCACAGACATATTGAGATCAAAATTACTGTGAAGGCCATTCTATGTAAACTACAGGACCTATTTCTAGGAGCTTCATTAAATTTATTATTGGCTCTTATTCCTACCCTTTAGTACCTCCTATTGGCACCTCATAACTTAGAACTTATTCGCTCATATTCACTATTTTATCCAGTTCCATTAATTCATAAGATATGCTGAAAAAACTTCACCTGATGTTGTTGCAAACTGTTGTCAAGTTAGCCTCTGACTTACAGAGACTCATGAAAAATGCAACAAAATGTTGCTGGATCCTGTGCCATTCCCATGCTTGGTTGGGGGTTGAATCGTTGTGATGCATGGAGCTTTCACTGGCTGATTTTTGGAAGTGGATTCCTAGGCCATTCTTTCTAGTCTGTCTTAGTCTGGGAGATCTGTTGAAACCTGTTAAGCAACTCAGCAATATGCAAAACTCCACTGACAGACAGGTGGTGGCAAAGCACAAGGTGCATTACCCAGTAATTGAGCCCAGGTCTCCCACATGGAAGGCAAGAATTCTAGTACTGAACTACCAAGGTCTCTCCTCACCAGGGCCTGTGACCCTAAAAAGAAGGTTATTTGTACTTTCTTTACTCAAGTCTAAGATTTTTAAAGCTCTCAGTGAAGAGTTCATCTCAGGGGCAGAAGCCTAGCATGAAAACAACTCAGTCTGAGAGACTTCCTTCTTTAAAGAGAAATGGTAGCTTCATTTTTCTGGTCAGTAGCAGAGAGGTGAGATTACTGTTTTACCAGGACATAGGAGTGCTTTTCTAGCCAAGGTATTTATTCTAACCTAAACTCCTCCTGTTCCAGATACCCTGCAGTTCATTGTAAAACAAAAGATAAGGGATTTTATCTGAATTTGGGTAGACTGGACTTTGGTGCAGCATATCTGTTTGTTATTACTAAGGTAAGTATGTCATGACACTCACACTCTCCTTCCTCATCTTCACATATATTGTCCCAAGATCCTCTTGGCAGAAGCAGAAAGGACAAAGGAGACTGCCAAGGCAGGATCATATACTTCTAGCTGATTCTACGCTAACTTGAGAAACTTCAGTGAGGTCTCCACATGGGATTTTATAAAAGGAAGCATTGGCAATAGGCAAAGGGTCTTGGGAAAATGAAAGGCATCATTTTTCATGAACTATTACTACAAAGTGACAATGATCTTCTGTAATCTCATCAAAACCTAAGAAAAACAAAGACTATATGTCTTCCTGGAAGGTTCCGCATATGTGCAGGTCTCCTACATTCCTGGAACTTTGATCTACTAACATATCAGAGTTTGAAATATCAAGACTGTTAGTATATGCCAGTCTCTACACAAAGTTTGAAGGATCAATTAACTGTAGCTAATCAAAAGCAAAAGGAGCTCTGGTAGTGTAGTGGTTACAAATCAAGCTGAGAACCGCAAGGTCAGCAGTTCGAAACTACCAGCTGCTCCACAGAAGAAAGATGAGGCTTTCTGTCCCCATACAGATTTATAGCCTCGGAAAGCCTGTACAGGGTCGCTATGAGTTGGAACTGACTCCACGACACATAACAACAATCAAAAGCAAAATGAATTTTAATTTTATGTCACTCTTGATTCTAATTATAGTTCATTATTGGTGACATTGTATTAAAGACAGATAAAGAAGATAGTGACTAAAAAGAAGAAAGAATGATGAGCCGGCTTTATTTATCTTAGTTAATTAATTAACTAATTTAACAAACCTAGCCTATTTGTTAAGACATTTTAATCATGATTTTCTTGAGCTGTAATTCACATATCATATAATTCAACCATTTAAATGATAGATATTTGGGTTGTTTCTATCTTTTATCCTCCTATTATGTAAAATGCTGCTATGAGCATTAACATATAAGGTTTTGTATTGACATAATTTAAAAATTTCTCTTGAGACTATATCTAGAAGATAGATTTCTGGGTAATATGGTAATTCAGTGCTTAATGATGTGAAGAACCACTGACTGGTTTTCAAAGTTGCATAATTTTACATTCCCACCAGTGGATATGAGTGTTTCAGTTTGGAAGGCACTCAAAAAATATGACTGGGGAAGAGCTGCCTCCTCAAAGTAGAGTTGACCTTAATGACATGGATAGAATAAAGTTTTGGGAATGATTCAAATGAGAACAAACATAGTTTCACTTTTTATTTGTTCTACTACCTAGTAGCTTTTAACCAGGTTATTATTCAGTTTCCATGTATTTGACTTTATTTCTTATTGTTGACTCCTAATTTTATATTTGTGATCTAAAAAGATGCTTTGTAATATTTTGATGTTTTTAAATTTGTGAAAACTTGCTTTGTGGCCTAACACATGGTCTATTCTGAAGAATTTTCTGTGTGCACTCGAGAAGAATGTATATTGTGCTGTTGTTGGGATGAATGCTCTGTACACATCTATTAAGTTAAGTTGGTTGATTGTATTGTCTATTCCTCTGTGTCTTTATTGAGTTTCTTTCTGGTTGTTCTGTCCCTTTTTGAAAATGACGTATTAAAATCCCCCACTATTCTTTATGTTGGCAGAGTGGCAGCATCAATGGGCTCAAGCATGGCAACAATTGTGAGGTTGGCCCAGGACCAGGCAGTGTTTCATTCTGTTGTACATAGGGTCACTATGAGTCAGTACTGACTTGATGACACCTAACAACAACAACAACAACAATATTCTTTGTGTATTTGGGGCTCTTTCATTGAGAGCATAGATATTTATTTTGGTTAATGTCCTGCTTTGTCTCTTATACTGGTTTTGCCTTAAAGTTTATTTGATCAGAAATCAGTATTACCACTTCTGCTTGTTTTTTAAATGCATTTTAGTAAAATAAATATTAAAATGGAAAATGGAAAGCAGCTTAATTGTATTTACATAGAAAATTGAATAAGGGATTAAAATTTTCTCAAGAAAATTATTTCTGAAGTCGTTTTGAAAATCCATTTTTGTTTTCATAATTTAGATGCCATCGTTTAAAATATTGACCACCCTCCAAATTCCTAATATTTCAAAATAATGGGGATTCAAACCACAAGATCAAAATAATACTTTGGCATCTAACTTATTAAAACCAGATGAATAAGTATCCCTCTATTGCCTTTGAGTCAATGCTGACTCATAGAGATCCTATACGATAGAGTAGAACTTCCCTCATAGAATTTCTAAGCCTGTAAATCTTTACTAAAGCAGACTGCCACATCTTTCTCCCTAGGAGTGGCAGGTGAGTTTGAACCACCAACCTTTTGGTTGGCAGCCAAGTGCTTAACTACTGTGCCAGTGTAGTGTCAACAAATGGAATTTTAAAATACTAATTACAGGGGTCGTTTCCTACAATAAGGATTGGACTGTAAACCACAAGGACTGTGGTTTGAGCTTGCCAGCTAGCTTCTCGGCAGGAGAAAAGACTTGACTGTCTGCCCCCGTGAAGATTTAAAGTCTCAGAGACCCTATACAGAGTCGCTGTAGTTGGAACCAACTCGATGGCACTTAACAACATAAGCATTCTACAATCTTATATCCATTCCCTTTTTGTCTTTATTTTTGTTTCTTGACAATCATCAAGAGATTAAGCAATCTCTACAGTAATTCTGACTCATAGAGACCCTGTATAGGGTTTCTAAGGAGTGACTGGTGAATCTGAACCACAGATCTTGCAGTTCAAACTGACTTTACAGACCAGTGCATTAACCCACAGTGCCACATCATCAAGAGTATTTATTTGAGACTACTGACAAATCCACTTTGTCTTTCTCTCCACTAAGAGCACCAGTCAGGGTCTTCAGGCATGGAAGATGGAAGACAGGACAGCCAGCAAAATGTCCATCGCATGGCAGCTACCACAGTATGCCCTGGTTACAGCGGCGGAGGTCATGTTCTCTGTCACAGGACTTGAGTTTTCTTATTCCCAGGTACGTTTTTGTAAGTGGAAGGTGGAGGTGAAAACATTGCTCAGAATCTGGTGAGTTTTAATTTTAGAATCTGGTTTTAATTTTGGCACTGGCTTAAATAGGATCATGGTAGTACAACATAAGAGCCTATGCTCTTTCAGCTTATAAAAACAAAACAAAAACAAGTAAACCCATGGCCATCAAGTCAATTCCGAAATAGGATTTCTGAGACTGTAAATATTTCCAGGAGAAGAGAGCTTCATTTTCTTCTGTGGAGCAGCTGGTAGATTTGAATCACCAACTTTGCTTAGCCCACAATCACCAACTTTGCTTTGCTTACTTCAGCTCTAGGCAAGGATATTTAAAGATAAAAAGTAAGCATGTTAGAGTCAGATTGTCCATGCTCAAAGTTTGGCTCTACAACCTACTGTGTAACCTTCAGCAAGTGAATTAACTTCTCTTAAAACGACTTTTTTCAATGTGTAAAATAAGAATTGTGAGGTGGGGAGGTTTCAAACAGTTCATGGGAAAATGGAATTCAATATTAATGTAGTTTTTTTTTTTTTTTAAGTTAATACAAAATTTTTAAAGCCCTTTTGTATTAACAGAATTTATTTCTTTGGGTTATTTTGAGGATTAGATAATATTTGAATTAAAATAGTCAACAAAAAGCTCAATTTTATTATTATTGCTAAGAGTATAACCACCCCTTGAGTCAACGTGATAGTTGAATTTAGTGGAGGAAATTCAAATCTAGAGGCTTTTTGTGAGAGAAATTTTCAGAATAGACCAGTGGGCCATGAGGGTGGTAGAGGGAGATTTTCTATTCACAAACTTATGTCTTCTCTAGGCTCCCTCTAGCATGAAATCTGTACTCCAGGCAGCATGGTTGTTGACTGTTGCTATTGGGAATATTATCGTCCTGATTGTGGCACAATTCAGTGGCCTGGTACAGGTATGGAATTGAGAGAAGCTGAAGCTCTTGTCTGCCTAAACTCCCCCCCCCTCCCAATTTCTTTTCTTCCTCTCCCTCTGTCTTTCTGCCTCCCAAGTCTCCCAGTATTGTGCCTTGAGATGGATTAAATGTACATGAACTTTTCCAGGAAAATGTGCATAGACACATATATGTGACAATAATGGTCACTATAGGCCCTGTACACCAACTCGATGGCATGTAACAACAACACATGCCATGTAAGGAGAAGTTGATGAACCCAGTCTTCTTCCCAGAAAACCTCTGCAAAGACTAGTGATTCTGGGTCAATATGCTCCCCATTCCTTATCCTGTGAAGATCCTTTTAGTATTCAAGTCTCTCCATAGTCTTCTCTTTTACTTATTTTTCCCTACAGTGGGCTGAATTTGTTTTGTTTTCCTGCCTCCTGCTGGTGGTCTGCCTGATCTTCTCCATCATGGGATACTATTATGTTCCTTTAACACTAGAGGAAATCCAGGGTACAGAAGATAAGCAGACTCTTCCTATCCAAGGGAACATGATCAACCTGGAGACCAAGAAGACAAAGCTCTAATATTTTCCTGAACTCTGTGCCAACCTCAGTCTCAGGCATTAGTCATCTTCAAACATTGTTTTCTCCCACTGGGTTAGGTGAGAGAGCATTATTTCTGGGTTGATCTTTTTACCATTTTCTATGATAAAGATAGTTCTAGGACTGGGTTTTCTAGTACATCTTTGAACAAGACCGTTGTGACTCCATGTCTTCCCAAATAACAGTGACTTTAGTAACCTTTGTGTAGTTTTGTTGAAAATAGCCTGATGTATCCAAATGGTCACGAAAAGACACATGCAGAATTGAGATCAGTCTCTGTGAGTATGTATTATATTTACATATAATACAAGTGGAAATTATTTAACAGTTACCTGTAATATTTAGTACTAATTGGTTTAAGACAAATCTGCACTACTGTAGCCTCACTAATGTAACAACAACAAAAAAGCCCAACCTATTTCTGAATGGGATTACATCCAGAAGTATAACCCACTGCCATCAAGATGCTTCCAACTCATAGTGACCCTGTATAGGTTTTCTGAGGCTATCAATCTTTATGGGAACAGAAAATCTCATCTTTCTTCTGTGGAGTGGCTGGTGAGTTTGAACTACTGATGTTGTGCCTAGCAGTCCAATGTGTATCCTACAGCACCACCACCATCAGGACTCCGTATATAGGGTTTAGAATTTACAACACATATTTTGGGAGAAACAATTCAATCCATAACATTCCATGCTTTGACCTTCCAAAATTCATGTTATACCCACATACAAAGCACATTCATCCTATCATCCCCAAAGCCTTCAGTCAACTCCAAGTCTAAAATCTTATCTTCTGAATCATCTAAATCAAATATAGGTGAAACTTTGGGCATACTCCATCTTGTGCAAAATTCCTTTCCATCTCTGGACCGGTGAAATTTAGAATGCAAGTTAGCTGAAACTGAGGGAAAGAAGAACTCACAGGTATGAAGCAAGTCCCAAACCCAGCAGAGCAAATTATATTAGCTCTCAAGGCTTGAAAATAATCCTCTGTTCTCTGGGATCATCTGAGCAATGGCCCTGCCCTCCAAATTCTGGATGTTGGTCACATTCTACAGATACTCCTTGGCCTTAGGCATCAACCCTGTCTTCTAAGCCAATTGGGATGACAACTTCACCTTTCAGCTTTGGGCAGTCCTGTACTCCTAGTCCTTCTGAGTGGTGACCTCAGCCCTAATAGGCTCCATTCTCCTGGTCCTTAGGTATGGCAGTCTACCCCCTTAGCTTTGTGTAGTGACCCTATCCTCCTGGCCTTTCTGAACCCATAGCCCCATGCTCTGGAACTGAACTGGTGGATATCTGACTCTGAAATCTAGAAGGTAGTTTTTCTACCTTTGAAATGGAGGCAGTAAGTTGGAGGTAGATTATATGCACAAGCATGCTGTTGTCTGATGTGATCAACTTGATTTGGACTCATAGCAATCCCATGTAACACAGTAGAACTGCCCCCATAGGGCTTTGTAGCTGTCTTTCTGTCATGGAGCCATTTTCCTTCCCTGATTTTAAACCATGAAGCATACCCTTGTTCTATTTGAACAACTACCTCTTAGTCTATGTGCAGGTTTTGCACAAGCACAATTAGTGTTCCAAAATTACCATTCTTCAAAATGGTATCTATCATTTGTTATGATCCATATAGTTGAATACACAGTCAATAAAACATAGGTAAACATCTTTCTGGTATTCTCTGCTTTCAGACAAGATCCATCTGACATCAGCAAAGAAAGATATCCCATGTTCCATATTCTCTTTTGAATCTAGCTTGAATTTCTACAGTTCCCTATTTATATACTGCTGCAACCAGTTTTGAATTATCTTCAGCAAAATTTTATTTTCTTGTGACATTATTAATAATTTCACCACCACCTTTCTTTGGATGGGCACAATTAGGATCTCTTCTAGTCAGTTGGCTAAGGAGGAGTCTTCCCAATTTATTGGCATAGAGAAGTGAACGCTTCCAGAATTACAACCATTTGTTGAAACATTTCAATTGGTATTACATCAAGTCAATCCATAGCAGATGCTAAATGTAATTTTGTAACCATGCTTTTTCAATATTGCTGGGTAAACTTTTTCTTATTACTACATCATGCATTGCAGTATTATGATTAGTCTAACTTCCTTTTTTATTATTATTCCCTTTAGTTTCAATCAAAGTAATTGCTCTGTTTTGATCATTTTCCTGTTTTACCTTTATTGTCATTTAAAAATGTCACTTCTTCCATTAGTGACATTTTGGTATTATCTGTTTTAGGAACCCTGGTAGTACAGTGGTTGAGTGGTCAGCTATTAACCAAAAGGTTAGCAGTTTGAATCTACCAGTCATTCCCCAGGAAAAGATGTAAAAATCTGCTTCTGTAAAGAATCCAGCCTTGGAAATCCTAGGGGAAGTTCTACCCTATCCTATAACATTGCTTTGAGTCAAAATCAACTGTATGGCAGTGAGTTTGGTTTGGTTTATTCCTGTTTATTAAACAAGGTTATATCAATCAGTACTCTAGGCTTAGATTTTAAAATGGTAATGCTCAATAGAGGAGCATGGGTCTCCACGAGGATCCAGTCTAAATTTGTGGGTATAGTGGTGGTAACGGGTGAGCAATTCTTGTTTGTTTTGGTTTTTTTTTCCCAACACAATGGGTTTATGCTTAATATAGCACTTCTAATTATGGGGGTGTTAATCAATTAATCTATATAAAGGTTGTTTGTTTTTTGTTTTTGTAAAAACAATATATCTTTTCTCCATTTCAATGTTCTATATAAAGTTTTCTAACATTAAATTATTTCCCCATTTCAATATTAGACATGTTGAATAAAATTTTCAAAACTTTCCATTTTGACGCACCACACTCGATACAGAAGTACGATGTTAATTTGGATATAACAAAGCACAATTCAATAAATGATGGAGAAAGACTCCTCAGTGATACAGGAGGCAGCAATTATAACCAAACAATGGTGATTTCCCAGAATGCTGCACAAGGGATTCCTGCTTTCTACAGCATGAGCTCCGGAACTTTTAAAGCCAATTTCAGCCATCTTATTTTTTTCACTTTCCTTCTAATCATCAAATAAAAATCATAGTTTGCACTTTGCAGTACACTTTTAAAGCAAAAAGATCGTTCTCCCCTTTTTGACATATATTAATTTGTTCCCACATAGAGGGAAACATCTAAAAAGGTGAAATGGCTGCATTTACAATCTATTTGTTGGGAACTTTCAGACATTAAAACTTAGTTTTAATTGCAATAGTAAAAAGGGTTTCAGGGTGAGGTCTGATTCAGGAGGGCCTTCAGAGTTACATCTGTCCATTTCTCTTTCATGCATAACCCCCTGGTGGTTGATGGTTATGTGCCACGGAGTTGGAACTGACTCATAGCGACCCTGTGCAGGGTTTCTGAGGCTATAAATCTTTACAGGAGCAAAAAGCCTCATCTTTCTCCCACAGAACAGCTAAGAACCACACCTAACAAGAGAACAATTGCATTTCCTGCTTCAACTGCTTTGACAACAAGCAGCACCAAAAGCAGAACTAACAACAATTGTGTTGAAACAGAGGTCATGAAACTGGAATCTTGAGGTGAATGGATCTTGAGGGTTGATGGTCCCAAAATAAAAGGGGTCCCCCCCAAAAAAATAGAAGTCTATCTGATTAAAAAAAAAACTCCATTGTTGGAACTCCAGAAGCTGAGGTTAAGAGATAGCACGTGACACTGCCTTCCAAGAAGCAGCCATTATAGGAATCTTGTTTGTTTTTATTGAAAAATACTACCTTGCATGCATTGAATGGACCAATGAAGACACAGGTGTGGCAATGTCATTACTGTACAGGATAATGCTGTGAAAAAAAAATCAGAGCACTGTATGAAAGAATTCATTTCCATCAGTTTTGCTCCAATTTTGTTATCTAGACCACTACTGAATTTCACATAATATAACAGAAAAGAAAATGTGTTGCCATTTCCCAGCTTTATATACGTTAGTTTTGGACCCAGGTTTCAGAACTACAGAAGTGGTAACAACAGTGTCCATTTTCCTCAGAGTCCTTGATGTGAACCTGACCCTAAAATCACCATTGCTGCTACTGCTGTTGTTAGGTACCATTGAGTCAGTACCGACTCGTAGCAACGCTATGCACAACAAAACGAAAAACTGCCCAGTCGTGCACCATCCTCATAATTGTTGCTACACCTGAGCCCATTGCTGCTGCCACTGTGACAGTCCATCTCATTGGAGGTCTTCCTCTTTTTCTCGGACCCTCCACTTTACCAAACATGATATTCTTCTCCAGTAACTGGTCCCTCCTGATAACATGTCCAATGTATGAAAGACGAAGTCTGGCCATCCTGGCTCCTACGGAGAATTCTGGCTATACTTCTTCTAACACAGATCTGTTTGTTCCTTTGGCAGTCCATGGTACTTTTAATATTCTCCAATACCATAACTCAAATGCGTCAATTCTACAGGCTTCCTTATTCACTGTCCAACTTTCACATGCATATGAGGTTATTGAAAATAACACTGCTTGGGTCAGGCACATCTTAGTCATCCAATTGACATCTTTGCTCTTCAGTACCTTAAAGAGGTCTTGTGCAGCAGATTTGCCTAATGCAATATGTCATTTGATTTCTTGACTGCTGCTTCCATGAATGTTGATGGTTGAAACGAGCAAAATGAACTCTTTAAAATTTCAATTTTTTTTCTCCATATGTATGGATGTTGTTTATTGATCCAATGGTGAAGATTTGTGTTTTCTTTACATTGAAGTACAACCCATACTGAAGCCTGTGGTCTTTGATCTTCATCAGTAAGTATTTTAAGTCCTCTTCATTTTCAGGAAGCA